CCCGATGCCGTCGCAGCGTCCGCATTCTCGTACGTGGTCTCTTAAGCGCTCTCGTCGACGTCCGAGTTAATGTACGAGCTCCGGTCTTGCCCAAAGCCACCGCAGCGTCGGCATTCTCGTACGTGGACTCGTCAACGTCGGTATTAATGTACGCGCTCCTGTTTTGCCCGAACCCGTCGCAGCGTCCGCATCCTCGTACGTGTTCTCTTCAGCGTCCGTGCTAGTGTACGTGGTGCTACCACTTCCCGAAGCCACCTCCCCCACTGCACCTACAGCCCAGTTGACGTCCGCGTTGGAGAAGCAAATGCTAGTGCGTATGGTAATAGCACAGGCCTGTCGATTACGACTTAATGCTCGACAGTCGATACGCAAACAAAGGTGGTGATGAAATCATATTTGGTTACACGCTCAACTAGTTCATTGGGCTATGAGAATTTGACCGTGCGAAGAGAGCAGCGAGTGGTGACTTCATAGCGCAAATACCTCGGATGTTCCTCTCTTGCAGAAACATGGGGTCATCGGTGTCTGGAAACGGAGTGTTATCGGGTGTGGGTTATTTCTTCGAGCTCTCAATTGCGGAAACGGCTGTCTTCGTAATACTCAGTGAAATTACTACCAAGCTCCGCATCCTCAAATACTTCTTCAAGATACTCTCCCCAGTGTGGAAAAGTTTCTTCTGCATCGACGCCGTCGCCTATATCGCTCAAGTCGTCCTCGTCTGGTGCCTGCTCGTCCCCTTGATCGGCTTGCGACCGCAGTGGAGTGAGGTATTCTGACGGGCGGATTGGCGTTGATGTGGGTGTTCGTAAACGAGGAGAACGTCGTATTGGGGTTCGCGATGTACGACCCGGCGTACGTTGAGCTGGGGTGTGCAGCGAAGGCGTTCTAGATGGTGCAGCTTCAGGGAGGGCGTCAGTCGAGATGGGTGTTGCTAATACGGCGTTGCTAGCGAACCAGCTGTCGGGCAATTCATGCCCCTCGACCCGCAATTAATCTTGCACGAATCTGTCAACCAGCGGACGCTCTGTTGAATCTATAATACGGGAAATTGTTGGCACGCTTTCGGTTGATGTTTGTTCGCGCTCACGCATGTATTGGCGTATACACTGTGTGTCTAGAGCTTTCGGTGGTTTTATCTTATTGCGTCTTGGAGTATGAACCACCCCAATCTCGCTGAATTTCCTTTCCGTAGCTGCAGTATTAACCGCGATCGAGAGTACTCTAACTGCCAGGTCAAGTACAGCACTTGTTTAGTTTTCCTTTTTAACATGCTGCCAATACTTAACCTTATTAAATTGAAACTCTTTCGGGTGCGCGGAAGACAGCGAATTCTCAATCCACTCAATCATATCACTGCGAATACAGTCGTAGTCATCACCAATTAGACGACGGTAGTAATAGACAGCAAATTTTGCGAGCTGTGTCTAAGATGCGATTCTGGCTGCTTTTTTGCTATCTTGAAACTGTTGTCGATGCTCTTGCTCAGTGTTCTCGTCTAGCACATTTCTATCAATCAGTCGTTCCTCGGGAATGCAGCCGCAGCAGCGTCTTCGGGCAGTGGCGGCAGCAACGCTATTCAACACGGCCGTCGAGACCGCGTACGAGAATGCAGATGATGCGGCGGCTACGAGCCAGACAGAAGGACGTACAACCAATACAGACGCCGACCAGTACACGTGCGAGAATACGGACGCTGCAGCGGCTTCGGGCAAGACTGGAGTACGTACAGTCAACACAGCCGACGAACAGAACGCGTACGAGAATGCGGGCGCTGCGGCGGCTTCGGGCAAGACTGGAGCACGTAGAACCAAAACGGACGCCAGCCAGTAAACGTACGAGAATGCGGACGCTGCGGCGGATCGGGCAAGACTGGGGCAACGTTAGACAAAGCGGACGCCGAGATTGCGTACACCAGCACGGACGTGGTCTATGAGGGTGTCGGGGAAGGCCTAGCGGTGGTGATGGTCGGTGAAGCGATGACTGAACGCGAGGGTAGTAACGCGTTCTTGTATGCGAGCTTCTAAATAGGAGCTGCAGCTCTAGTGAGGGGGGGGCGACTCAGCTTTAGATTGCCAGCAGCAATGTATACTATACAAAAGCAAAATTATTGTAAAAAGGCGCTGAAACGATAAGGCGAAGCGGCCGCCGTATCGCCTAAACCCACCGCCTAAACCAGTTTAGGCGCCTTTTGAAAAGGCGGTAAATGCGGGTTGTGACAACACTGCCGCAAGTGGTTGGGACTGTGGTAGTTGCAGCGACGTTCTCGGGCTCGTTCATGGGCGGGTTGATTAACTCGGTACTTCATATGGACCAAGCAGAAACTGGCCATCGCTCAGGCGGTGACGAGTGCGTTGGTCTATTTGCACGAGTTGACGCCTACGGTCTTACATTGGGACGTCAATTCTCGCAACGTGTTGCTCTCGTCTTCTCTGGACTCCAAACCGAGCGTCTTTGGTATCCGTCGACGCAAATGCAGCGGTACCGACGACCAAACGAATCTCACAGCGACCGGAGCAGCGGGCACACTGTCGTAGAAGGCGCTGGAGTTGATGCTTAGCGAGGAATACACTGAGAAAGTGGACATTTACTCTCTGGGCGTCAGCCTCAGTGAGCTGGACACGTGCACGTTGCCATACCACGACGCTACTTCTCTCTCAGAGCGACTTGTGCAACATCCGCTGCACTTGATGCGGCGCATTCTCCATCACCCGCGGACTGCCCGCTGCCAATCACGCACTTGATCACAGCGTGTGTGTCATGTAACCCAAAGTTACGTCCAAGTTGCTGCCGATGTAGAAGCCTGGCTGGGTGCCCGTGGAGAAAGTCATTTCAGCAAATAATTTTTATAATGCATTCGTGAAGTCGACAAAATAGGGGGTTTCAAAGTTGTAATTAATTAGGATTTGTTTTGGCGGAGATGAGCCTCATTTTTGTCGAAAAATGAGGGGGCTTTCAGCTCTGAAACACCACTAAATTGCCACAAAAACCAGATAATTACCTTGAAACCCGTAACCCCGCGTGAACGAGTCGCAGGGCGTGAACGAGTTGCCGCGCGTGAACGAGTTGCCGCGCGTGAGGGCGTGAAGGAGTTGCCGCGCGTGAAGGAGTTGCCGCGCGTGAAGGAGTCGTAGGGCGCGGACTGGTCGCCGCGCGTGACTAGTAGCTGGGCGTGGGGGAGTTGCTGCGTGGTGAAAAAGTCTGAACGTGAAGGGGTTGCTGCACGTGGTATTGCTGCGGGTGGGCAAGGTTAAAACTCAAACTTGGTTCACCAGCTTCAGCACTTCCATACAAGCCTCCTTGAGTGGACCCATCACTATTTGCTGACGGATTGTCCATGGTAGAGAATGGAGAAATGTTTTGCCGGCCTCCAAACAGGCCTTCGATGTCGTAGTAGAACGGACAAGCTTTTTCAACAGCTTCTTCGAGCGCCAGCCCTGCTTCGAGCTGCGATTCAGTAAGGCCAAATCCCGTCTGGGAGTCTATCCTTTCCCTGATTTTCCTGAACACCTTAAGGTAAGATGTCCAGCGGCTTTGGTATGTAAAAGCATCCCATCGCTCGGTATACTTAGCCGGTATCGGCGAACCCGCATCCGCAAAAGTCTTCAAGCAAGATGTAAACACGTACTCTGCCATTTGACCGAAGCCTGAAATCTTTGTGCGCGCCCCTCCAAAGCCAGCAGAGTGGTCGTCATTTGCCTTGCCCACAATCACATTGAAATTAGCCGGTTTTTTCAGCCATTCCACCATAAACTGCCTCTGCAGTAAGGTGGTGTGGCCACCCTTCTGGCCCTTTTGGCGTGCCATGCTGTGCCCTTCGCTTCCCAGCCACCAGATTCGAAAGTAACCAGGTTATATATTTAGCGGCGTACCCCTAAAATGAGAACTCAAAAAATCAGCTGGAAAAGGGAGGTGCATTTTTCGACAAAATTGAGGCTCATCTCCGCAAAAAAAAAATCTAATTAATGACAACTTTGAAACCCCCTAATAAATAAATTTATGATTTCATTAAGGCCGTGTTCGGTTTGCAGGGGCAAATCCAGCTTGTATGAAAATAAGGCCGTGTTCGATTTAAGCTAAAACCAGCTGTAATTGGTATTAAAGAGCTGGAATGTCTCAACCAGCTTTATTCTGCTAAGAAACACAGAAAATGAGGATAGCTCCAAACGGCTGGTTTCAAAATTCAGCTCTGGGTTGAATTTTGATTCGTCCTCCTTTGCGCCTTCAAATCCAGCTTTTTTCTGATGGAACACGATCACTTATTTTATCTTTATTTTACTTAACAAAACGACTGTTCTACAGCTCTAGCTTATTTTCGAACAAGCTGGATTTGCCCCTGCAAGCCGAACACGGCCTAAGCTAGAGCTGTAGAACAGTCGTTTTGTTAAGCAAAATTAACGATAAAATAAGTGATTGTGTTCCATCAGAAAAAAAGCTGGATTTGAAGGCGCAAAGGAGGACGAATCAAAATTCAACCCAGAGCTGAATTTTGAAACCAGCCGTTTGGAGCTATCCTCATTTTTTGTGTTTCTTAGCGGAATAAAGCTGGTTGAGACATTCCAGCTCTTTAATAACAATTACAGCTGGTTTTAGCTTTGATCGAACACGGCTTAAATAAATTTGACAGGACCATGGAGCGGGCCTTTTTATTAATATAATAGTGCCGTTTTTGATGACATGAGCTTTTACTGAGAGATCATTTTCTAAAAAATGTCCATTTTGTATTAATAAAAACGTAAGCTTTCAAAAAACTAGAAAACTTTGATTTGTTCGGGTACCTACCTACCAAAAGTACTTATTTAAACTAGTATGATCTATACTGTTTAGATTACCGGTAGCAAATATGTCAGCAAAGGAGAAGTGTTAGGGAGCAGAGTAGTACCTGACTTCGGGTACACCCGATTGCGAGCTCTATTAGAAACGTTTGAGCCAGCCATTTCTAATTTGAACTGCTAGGTGGGACTTTAACTCAAATCTTTTTTTTGTGCCACTCAACTATTCTCCCTTCATAACCGCTCCATTCCAGAAGTTTGCTGAAGAAGCATCAAAGTAACCACCAGAAGACCATGAGCACAGAGAACAAGACCGAGGGTGTTATCCAGGCCGGTAACCTGCACCGCAAGCGTGCGGGCCTGTTCGCTAAGCTCACGGGTGGCAAGCAGCATGTGTACGTTGAGGCCAACGACAAGCAGAAGCATGTGACAGTCTTCGAGTCGGAGACGAACAAGGCCACACCTCTTGCCACTGTGGACGTGTCTTCAGACGCTACTGTGGAGTTTGACGCGTCCATGACGCATGGTATCAAGCTGGCGAACCCAAAGATCACGGAGATCTTCTCGGCCGAGAGCAAAGAGAAGCAGGAGGAGTGGCTCAACTCGTTCATCAACGCTGGTGCTCAGTACCGTGAGGTGTTCAACGTGGAAGATACGGCCAAGATCAAGTCGTTCTACGAGTTGAAGGACTTCGATATGGCTGGCAATGAGGTGTCCATGAGCAAATACAAGGGCAAGGTAGTGCTGGCCGTGAACGTGTCGAGCAAATGCGGTCTGACGCCTACGAACTACCCGGAGCTGCAGACGCTGTACGAGAAGTACAAGGAAGAAGGTCTAGAGGTGCTGGCGTTCCCGTGCAACCAATTCGCTGGTCAGGAGCCTGGCACTCACGAGGAGATCATGGAGTTCGTGAAGCAGTACAATGTGACGTTCCCGTTCTTCGAGAAGCACGACGTGAACGGCGCCACGGCTCGTCCGGTGTTCACGTACCTGAAGACGAAACTGCCTGGTTCTTTTGGTGACTTTGTGAAGTGGAACTTTACCAAGTTCCTGGTGGACCGGAATGGACAGCCGTACAAGCGTTTCGCTCCGAAAGACCGTCCGTTGTCGTTTGAGGAGGAAATCAAGACGCTGTTGGCGCAGAAGGCTACGGAAGAGTGAAAGATGACAAGACAGCGTGGTGCTATGTCTCACCTTAGCTAATTACAATATGAACACGCTGCTTATTGACTTTGAAGCTTGCTAGCTGTGTTGCATGCAAATGGTCGCAAATGAAGATCAATAGTTTCTCCCAGCTACAAGACTCTAGCTCCCCTCCAACTTGATTGGAACTTGAGCTCAAATTACAAATCGCAACATTTGTGCTCCTATTTTGAGCGGATTCAATTTTGAACTTACCGGTACCAGTTTTTAATAAAAGTTGTACATGTATACCGGTATGTACTGTATCTCGAAGTACATGTATCCAATTTGAGCATAATCATGTTGACCAAAAAGTGCTATCGACGACAACAAAAGTCTTGATGCCTGTACAAGTGGACCATTAGCAATGGTACTACAATATATTCGCTTGTATTGGGGCCAGACGAGTGTGTGTGGTAGCTCATTTAATAGTCTCAGCTTGACTCACTAAGGAGAGTCTCAAGTCTTGAGCTTGCTGCTTGGACTTCATGATTCACTTGCTTTCAGTATGATTGACTGATTTGGATAGAACGGGGATGCTCCAAGTCGGCTGTTGTCTAATCGCCTGTTGTTCAACTGAAATCGGACCAATCGCAGCGTGGCGAACATGCATGTCTGTGCTCGCCAACAACTGCGAGCGAGAGAAGGGAAGTGTTGGGGAAGCGAGGTCTGCATCTCTGGCCCAGAGTCTGGGCGCCATTCCGCCAGAGGCTCCGGATTCGAGCGCGCATGACCCACGACGGCTGTCTCCCTCTGCTAGTGCTCGCTCTGTGCAGCCTCAGCCTCCACGTCGGCGTCCAGGCCTTCGTTCGAGGTAGGAGCATACAACCAACGCCTCGTTGTGAAAAAATCAAGCGAAGGGATCACTTAGTAGTCTCATTGATGTGTGTCACGTGCAGTTCCTGGTCTCGACGCGCTGTATGAAGCCGTATGTCCGTATCTCGGCTGCGTGGCTGAAGCTGACGTCGGTGTCTCCATCATAAATTACGATTTGTTCCCGACCGAGATGCCGTTAGAGCTGCTCGGAGAGGAGTCTGTGCGCAAATGTACGTGTCTGCAGTAGGTTCAGCCGATACACGAGCTGTTGAAGCTAACAGTTATCTGTGCAGACCCTGCGTTCCCACACCCGCCCCTGCTAGTGGCGGCAGGAACACGTGACGCTGTAGTTCTGCGCTGGCGAACCTATGAGACGCTACTGTGGCCTGTTGATCGCTTCATCCTCCAGCGATACCCAAATACAGAAGACAAACCACAGTGGACCACTATACTAGACGAGAAAACTTCGGACTTGATCGATTTGGACGTCCAGTCCGGACGAAGATATGTATACCGTATACAAGCCATCTGCAGAGAGAATGTATCGAGCGCATATGAATACCATTGGACACAGGTGGATGACGTGAAGAGCCGCACAGCTACGTATCGCGTACTGAGCTCAGTCGGAACACTCAATGCCGAGGGGCTACATTCTCTCGGCCTCATCTTCGCTTGTTTCTTGACGGTCTATGGCCTCATGCGAGCCAGTGTCATGGGCGTTCAAGGCACACAGTCTCGTAGATATCGCTTGAAACGGATTACGAAGTCCACATCAGAGGTAGCGATCCCCGTAGGTAGTATATCTACGGGACAGGGGCTCTCCATGATACCAAGACGGTCCTCAACATCGACGTCCAGCTCGTCATTGTCCGTGGAAGTCGATCCTAGTCTACGCGGTAGCCTGTTCGAACCCACCCCCACCAGCACGACTGCCACTACTAGTTTGACGCGTGCACACAGCAATATGGACGCTGTCCCCCGCCACGAATCTTCCCAAACTTTCCGGACCATGTCGCGCTCGATCGGGACTATCAACGAGAAGGCCACTCAATGCCAACATTGCCGAAAGCGTTTCGGACTCTTCCGGAAACGGTATATCTGTGATATTTGTCACTCGGCGTCGTTGTGTCGGAAATGCGGCTACCAGGCTTCAGTAGACAGCTTCGCCAACGCGAGGACTGGGATGCAGATGAACTCGGTCGCCGGCCGCGGAAAGGGTCGGCGCAGGTTAAGTATCAGTCAACAGCAGCAAAAGAAACTCAAGATAAGAACCATCTGTAGGAACTGCTGCGACGACATGTACCGCTACTCCACCCACCCGAGCGTGAGACCGTCGTATATCCCTTCAGAAATGTAAGCGAAGCACGTAGTTTAAATGGCTATCAATTATGTTGTAAACAGTCTGCATCTTCTTGAGCCTTGAGGTTTGATTCTTGATTCCAAGTCGTTCTCACGATGACGCTGAGGATTTCTGGAGCTTCTCGTCCAACTGCCACGTTGCACAATTGCAATCACTTGCGACAGCTTCGACCGCCAGTTGATTCACTGCCGTTGCTGGCTCACTTACCGACAAAGGAAACGACCTGGAAATGGAGATTGATGAATCGATCAGCTCGTAGAATGAATGACTAAAAGCGTCGTGTAGGGGCCGTGCCGCCCTGAGCTGAACGGGATCTGTATTGCCGCAATCAGCACGAGGTAGAGTGCAAGCCCTTCCAATCACTTCATCGCATCATTTCCTGGCGCGAGGACAAGGACACGCGGCGGGCTGCCTCCTCTGAAATATGGATGTTGGCGACGTTAGCTTCCAGTGCTGACGTTGTTCGCTCTTTTTGTCCTAAGAGAAGACTATCGCTCAGCCGAAAAAACAACACTGATGCCGCACACTGCAGACCGCAACGGAAGTGCTCCGGAGAACGGGACTACGTTACGTTCCGTAGCTTAAAAGTTAAGTGTGCAGCTCGCATATTGAAGTTGCCACGTTATTTTTGGCTCCACTCAAAGGCAGGAAGCACTCGATCCAAGCACGGCTCGGCTATCCGATTCATCAACGCGGTGTATGGCGTGTATGGCAGCGTAAGTGGCTGAGCTGGTCCAGCGCCGCTGGAGCTTGTCCAAGGCTGCCTTGGCATTGCCAAGTGGAAATGGAGACTCCTATTATGGAGCACGCCCTCAGGGAAAGACGGCGCGTGCGCGGGCAAATTGCCGTGGAGGAGCAGCTGCAGCGGCAGCACTTGCTTACAATATACAGTACATTTGTCCCCGAACTTATCTAAACTTGACATGCGACTTACAGGTTAGTGCACTGCAAGTGGTGCCGCTACACAACGCGCGCCAACGCGATCGGCCGCTGGCCAACGCGCGCCAATCAATCGGCTATACGCGTCGCTCGTGTCGGCGCAGGAGCCGGTGCGCCGGCGATGCCTCAACGCTGGAAGCAAGCAGCGGTGCTGAAAAAGTGAAGGTTTGTAGAAAGACTCGGCTTTGCAACATAGCTACACTTGTCGCAGGGTCCGTGCAGTGTTCTTACCTCAAAATATGATAAATCACCTGTTTAAATGACATCTACCTCAGAACATAATAATAAAACGATCTCGTTCAAACTCATCTAATTCAGAATAAAGTAGCATGAGCGAGGTCGCTTTTACCTCCAATAATGAATCCTGAACGTCGCCTCGTCTGCTTCTGGGCTTTGATGGGTTGCTGTTGTATACATGTACGTTTGTGTTCGCACTCGCCCCTTCGGAGAAAACGCCTCATTCGGCAATTTGCCAGCAAGAGCACAACCCAAGTAAACCACCGACATAAGAACATGAGTGAACTGCAAGGCCGCGTATTCGCCCGTCAGACCGCGTTCAACGCGCTCGCCGAGGATTTGCGTGAGCAGACGGCGGAGGCGCAGACGTATCTGACCGAGAAGAAGGTCGAGATCTTCACGGTGCACCACTCGGCGCTCGTCAAGGTGCCGCAGAGCGTACGTGGCAAGGAACTCGTCGACTTCTTGGACAAGTGGCTCACCCCCGAGGAGGAGAAAACGGAAGTCGTCGTCGCCGCTGAGCCTGAGAAGAAGGAAGAGGCTGCGACGGAGGAGAAAGACGCCGTCAAGGCCGAAGAGGAGGCCCCCAAGGCCGAAGAGGAGGCTCCTAAGGCTGAGGAAGTGGTGAAGGCGGAGGATGAAGCCCCCAAGGAAGATACTGAAGCTGCGAAGGCCGAGGAAGCGCCCAAGGAGGCCAAGAAAGAAGACAAGAAGAAGGAGAAGAAGGTGGACAAGCCTTCGCCGTACCGTGCGCGTGCCAAGGAGATCGCCGAGGCGCTGGTTCTGTCGGGCTTCATCACGTCATACAAAGATCGCGTCAAGAACTATTTGGCCGAGGCTCCCAAGGAGTATGTGACGGACAGCGAGCTGTTTGTAGCCATCCCCGCGACCGTCACGGAGTCCAAGGACACGACGGTGTGGGACGTCGTCGACGGCGCCATCTACGCGTCGCAGCTGAAGCGTAAAGCTGGCGTATTCTCGGCCTTCACGCAGGGCAAAGACGTGTACGTTGTGGCCAATGAAAAGACGAACAAGATCCACTTCTTCGAGTCCGACGTGGCGCGCACGGCTCTGGCCGAATACACCGCTGCCGACGGCTTCGTGCAGTTCGACAACGCACACTTCCAGTTCGGCGTCAAGCTCGTGTATGGCGACAAGTTGGAGCTGCTCAACTTGGTGACAAAGGAAGGCCAGGAAGCTTTCCTCAACACGCTCCTGAACGTCGGTGTGCAGTACCGTGAAGTGTACAACCTGGCAGCTGAAGAGGCCAAGTCGTTCTACGAACTCAAGGACTTTGACATGGACAAGAAGGAGGTGAGTATGGAGGACTACAAGGGCAAGGTCGTGCTGGTGGTCAACGTGTCGAGCAAGTGTGGTCTGACCCCCACGAACTACCCGGAACTACAGCAGCTGCACGAGAAATACCACGAAGAAGGCCTCGTGGTGCTGGGCTTCCCGTGCAACCAGTTCGCTGGCCAGGAGCCTGGTACGCACGAAGAGATCCTCGAGTTTGTCAAGCAGTACAATGTTACGTTCCCGCTCTTTGAGAAGCACGACGTCAACGGCTCGAATGCCCGACCGGTGTTCACGTACTTGAAGGCGAAGCTGCCGGGCACGTTCGGCAACTACATCAAGTGGAACTTCACCAAGTTCCTGGTGGACCGCAACGGCCAGCCGTTCAAGCGCTTTGCACCGAAGGATCTCCCTCCGTCCTTCGAGGAGGATATCAAGGAACTGCTGGCGAAGGCGCCGGAACCGGAGAAGACGGAGGAAGAGACCAAGGAGGAGGTTGCATCGGCTAAGTCGGACGACGAGACAGTGGAGAAGAAGGAGGAGGTCAAGACGGAGAAGAAGGAAGAGGTCAAGGCTGACAAGGAAGAGGCTGCTGCTACGACGGAGGAGGCACCGAAGGAGGAGACTGTCAAGTCGGAAGACGTGGCGGTTGCCGTGACCGCACCGTAAAGTCGAGCGCTCACCCCATCGGCACCGAAAAAATCCCGGTAGTTAGTTGCTGCGTAGCTTATGCATTGGTTTTTATTGGTACGTTTTTGTAATAGCAAAGTCAGCAATTGCAAGTATGCAACAAGTTTTTGCTTAACTTATTGCCAAATCATAATGAGTGATGGTCAAACTTCAATTTGTGTCGGTGGTCGGTTGGGTTGCGGCTCAAGGATACGAGAAGGGGCCGGCACCCAATGAATACCTCACCGTTAGGTTGATGCTCCACGGTTGCCTTGCTCTCACTACTAGTATTCATTACTCATGAGCGCAGCACAAACAATGGCAACCTTGGCTGAAAGCGCTCGAGAAACGGAGCGGATCGAGCGCGAGCGTTTGGAACGAGAGCCATCTTTCGTGACTGCGATGTCGTCTTCACCCGTTGACTCTCCTCCGACTGACACTGAAGAAGATTCGTGTCTTCCCTCGTCTTTAGCGGTGGAAGGCCGTGTGTTCCGTCGATTGCAACGTTTCCAATTGCTGGCGTCGGAGCTTAAGGCGCAGTCTGACATGGTCACAACGTACTTGCTGACACCGAAAGTGCGTCTTCACGTGTTCGAGCAGCGGAAACATTGGTGGCAGCATCCGCTCCATTTAGCGAAAGCTGGACAGGGGACATTCATACTTGGGCGCCAGCTTCTGAAGGCCATATTGAAGTATTTGCTGCTGTCCCATGCAGCTAATAACTCACTCCGTGACGCACAGCAACTGGCAGAAGCACTTATACTCAGTGGGTTTTTGTCTCCTGCACATGAAGCACCGAACGTCGATGATGAACCTATTGAAGAGCTCTACATATTCGATGACAGCTACTACGAGCTGGTGGCTCCAGGAGCCACGGCGGTTGTCCGGACACCGAACGTAGTAGTGTCCGCTGCTGCTGATAGCTCCCAGCCTGATACTGTCGTCTTACCTGCACAGCGATTTCAAGTACTCAAGAAGCCGTCGCTAGAATCTGAACATTCACTCTCTGTCTGGGCACTGACGGACGGTGCAACTCGAGCAGGGTTTGTCCAGCGTAAACGTGGGAGAATTCACGTGCGAAACATCCTCGGGTTCAGGTCAAAGTTGAGTCGTTGCTACGCGGTAGTAAACAAGACGAAACACCACTCGCTTGTGCTGTTCGAGACGGATGTGGCAAGACGTGATCTCGTACGTGTAAATCTTCCTACAGTATCCGTGGAGTATTACGCACCCACGGGTGACGATTCTTCACGTTACGCTCTGAAGATTCGCACCGAAAGTGACAGAGATGACGACACGGAGATTCTCGTGCTGCAGAGCAAACCTGAGCAGGAGCAGTGGCTTGTCGCATTAATAGATGCCGGTGCTGCGTTCTTGGAGACACATGCTGCCATTCTCTCGTTCGCAGCCTCTACAGCTTCGTTGTATTCGCTTCGTGATACAGACGCAAGTGGCAACACTTTTTGCCTGTCGGAGTTGCGTGGTCATGTGGCCTTGCTGACGAACGTAAGCAGTGGTACTTGCAGCTCAAACGCCAAACAACTTCAGCAACTTGAGGAGTTATCGTCGAAATATGTAGACGCCGGTCTGACAGTAGTGGCGTTCCCTAGCGCGCAGTTCGGAGATGGGGAATTTGGCAATGACGAGGATCTCGTGGAATATTTCCACGAACTGTTTGGAGTCAACTTCCCAGTTTTAGCCACACGCGACGTGAACGGCCCCTCTGCACGCGACGCAATGCTCTTCTGCAAGACACGACTGCCTGGTGCTGCCAAATCCGCAGCTAACGCATTCATTGAGAACAACTATGTCAAGTTTCTTGTTGGCCGCGACGGCCACCTATTCAAGCGCTACGGTGCGTGCGATTTACCTCTAAGCATGGAAACAGATATCCAGAACCTGCTACAGGCAACACCGCCAGAATCGAGACCCTGATATAACAGGTGAAACGCAGCATTTCGGTGAATAAACAAGTTATTTTATATCCGTATCGCGTTGATATCTAAGGAGACGAAATGCCGGGTTGCTCCATGCGTTAATACACTCGATGCGCTCGCCCCAAAGAAATTGCACTGTGCAAAGCTCTGCAGAAGTTGAGCGAATCCGTTCCACCCGGCTGATAATCGCGATGCTGTGTTGCACTTGAAAGGGTTAAATTGACACTCTAATCGAGGAAGGTCTTCTTGTACACGGCGTTAAGCTGCTCAACGACCAGAAGAACGATCATGGCGTTGGGCGCACAGCGAGTGTAGTAGGTCCAGTAGCCACGCCAGAGCTTGGACGGACCTTCCTTGGTAATAATCTGCTTAAAGCAGTCAGTCACGCCCGTGTACGGATTCTTGCCCGTGATGGGGTCTACCTTCATGTTCATTAGGCGAGATTTGACCAGGTCGAAGGGCAGCGACGTGAAGGCACAGGCAAATCCGGACACGGCGCTGGCACCCATGTTGGTGATGAAGCCGTGGCCGTACTGGGCCGAAAGCATCTCCTTGGCCTGATCATACGAGGCCATCATACCCAAGTTCATAGCGGCACCACGGGCCACAAGCGGGATACTACCACGCCACAATGTGGCCACGCCCTCGGATCCTGCGATCTTAAAGATGGCGTCAAACACATTCTTGTAGCCGCGAGATTCGCCGGCCTTGGCCAGTGTGTCAGCCTGCATACGCACAAGGGCCACGTCCATAGGACAGCCCAGTGTGGCCGCAACGCCGCCGGTCACAATCGCTGACGCGGATTTGATGGCCAGCGGCAACGACGCGCTCTCGCCGTTGGCGACGCGACGTGCGATCATCTTGTCGGAGAAGGCCCGGTGCATGCCGAGGCGGGCAGTGCCGTAGACCATCTGACGCGCTACAGCGGCCGACAGGCCGGCGTACAAGCCAGTGATGCCCTCTTTGGCCACAACCGAGCGGGCCACACCCAGGCCGGTGACGTTGGAGCCTGTCTGGCCGGCCAGCTGCAAGTGAACCTTTACCAGATCGATGGGGTGGATGGCCACGGCGGCGAACACGGCGGCCGAGCCTCCGCAGATGTATGGCTGCGCAGCCAGCGCGATAGGGGACTTGGTGGTCGTCGACATTGCGGAGGTTTGAGCTGCTTGAGGAGGTTTTGCGAATGGAGCGTCACCTTGGGCCACCTACTGGATTGACATTCCCTTGACTTGGTTTCAGTAAGGGGTGGGCAGATGTGCAACACATGCTCACCACCAAGCAGAACTGAGCTACCATCTGTGACTTATCAAGCGATCGGAAAGAGAAGGTATTTCGAAATAGAAGGTGCTACATAAGCATGAAAACTTACTTAGAAGTGTCAAGTTGAATCGCAATCTTAGTCGAGGTATTGTATACGACAGGTTTTGGAGTAAGGCACTGTTTGCGAAATTGCAGACACCGGTACTCGTTCATTCACGACGGATTTGGCGTTGCTACTTCGAAGTACTTTTCAGCGACACCACACCAGTAAGAACGACTCAAGCGCTTCCGCACTTTACTGCCGCGCACACCACAGCAACCCTGCCAGAAGATCAGTGTTTGTCAAGCACTACAGAGCTGGTGCTTTTCACTTGCAAGGCGAGGCTTGAGCGAACACCCCCAGTACCGGTACACCAAGCAGCAAAAAAGTGCAGCTTTTAGCGTACAGCGCCGGGCTGCTTGGGTTTCGCGATGATTGCTATGCAGCGAGATCGCCGGCGGAGATTGGACCCAATATAGCGAGTTGGGGGCTTGGCAAAATTTTGGGGGCCCCATTTATTGCTGACCATTGATAATGAAATGGCTCCACTTTTCGGTATACATGACATGTACATTGTACAGTACAAATATCGCTATGATGTATTTTCCAAAAGCTTTTTTGGAACATGGTTTTCATAACTGTTGTCTCATGGTTTTTAGTAACGACTTCCGATGACTTTGTCAATAAATAACAAATTGTAAACTCAAGAGTAAAGGTGATAGGTCCAAACAAGGACATGGATGGGGCTATATCTACGGGTTGTCCAACACTTTCGAAATCACATGCACTATTTTTTATTAGGGCCCCGAATGTCTATATCTATTAACTCTTTCGTTACCGCCATACTGATCTATGTTAAATTCAGCTAACATTAACCAAGTCATTTCGTCAAACCGTAACGTAATGTTGGACAAGTGAGGTCTTGCACATCACGATCCGGAGCGATCCGGGGTCATTCTATGATCGTGAATTGAGCTTAAAAGTGAGAATGGATTAGACACCACTTCACTCACTGAGTGACACTCAGTATGCCCGTACCGTCGCTGCTTTGAAGTAGCGTGGGTGTCACGCGTCTGTGCATGACAGCTAGTACAGCTGCATAACATTGTGCTGTGTGACTTTGGCTCTTGATCTATGTGATCTTCTCGTCCAGAATTTTATTGGAAAGCTCCCGGCACCGGAAATGTATCTGATAAAGGAGCTTGTTGCGCTCTCGACGGAGCATGGTTGTAGACACGAAGCTGAAGGGCGCGTTGGTCGTCTGATAGCTCTGCGAGTATGACGTCGCCGAACTTCTTGCATTTTGAGACCAGTGCAGTGAAGCCCACGACGGTTTCCGCTGTAGCGCGTATTGTCTGAAACGTCTCGTCCCACCGTTGCCGTTGTCGGGGCCTTCCATTGATCGGGGTCGTGTTTCTTGGGCGGACGTAGGAGGTTGAAGTATAAGCGACGCTTCTAAGAAGTAATATAAACATTGTTGTATCTTGTGTTATTTGCTAGAAGGAAAATTCACGAATGAGCTTCTCACTAAACCTCTATGAGAGTGAAAGCTCCTTAAACTTTTCCAGGTCCATCGTAGATAGCGGTCTAAAGCGAATTCCCACCACAACCAGCCGCGTGCTGTTCCAGCTAAACTTGGAGCGTCACTGATTTAGCCGTAGGTCCCCTTGCTTGGACGTGGTGCGAAGAGACTGGAGCGAACAGACCTTCTGAATGCAGTCGGCCAGAATAGCAAGGTCTCAATCTAACTGTACACCGTCACAATTCTCCCTGACTGACGCTCGGTGTCTACATCACCCTGAACATGTCTCACGGTAGCTTTGGTAGCCATAACTGGAACGTTCCCACGGGACGCTTCACCCGGGGTTGGACTCGCATTCTTAGCTCCAGACGACCTTCCATCCGTCAGCGTTCCTCGTTGTCGCTCCACACTGGCACGCTCTCTTTCTTCCCGGCGTCCGACGCGACCGCCAGTCCTTCCCACTTACGTCTCACGGCTCGATCGGTACTGTCCTCAGCTCTCTGCCGAAGACTTTCGTAAAAGCGCATCAAGTGCTGCAGCAGCCGATCCCTAGCACGGCCAGATTCCAGTAGCGACATCTGACCTCAAACCGCAATGAAACGTCGATCACCAACACAACCAGAGCCAATCCCATCCAGCCACAAAGCGCTTTCTTGACGCTCACATACATCAGTGTGGTGTAGTAGAACACAGAAAGACCGTCAGATGTGGATTCCTTACACAAACCACAACGAATCGCCGAGTTAGGTCGGCGGTTGTATGGCCTGCGCAGAGGGTGGTCCCCTCGCGGTCCGGCCCTTCCGGGACAGACGTGTGGCTCGCTTCCACTCGGTTCCGACTAACCAAGTCAGAGCACTTCCGAGGCTCCGCCGAGTTTGGTTCGGCTGAGCTCGTTCACAACCCTGTGTCCTCCACCAAAGGATGGACGACGGCGCGCGAGCGCTTTTACAGGTCACCGAGCGCAGAGGCTGCTCAGCTAGAAGTGTTACGGCACCCGGCCTATCCGACGAATCGGCCCGCTGAGTATGCGGGGCTTTCTTTCGCGCGTAGCGAGACTTTGTCCTACCCGGACCGACCTAATCTCTTGGCGCTACCAGTCAATACCCTACAAGCTATGCCTCTCGAGTATTGACGGCAGGCATAATCCAGCCCTATGCAGGGACTCACCGGAAAAGTGTACACGTGTCTTGGACTAGGAAAATTCTGCTCTGTTATCTTCTGGGAGCCCTTTCGGCTCCCCCTATTTAATCCTATGCTTCTCATACAAATATCTAGTGAAATGTAGTCGTTTCGGATCTCTACCGACCCTTCAGCTAAGTTCCGGCGACCGTTGAGCTCAGCGGCTATCCGGATAGCATATCCGGACAGATCGCCGAGTACTTACCGTGATCCTTTGTTCCTAAGCTCTGGGTTATCAGACCGAGCCGATTCTTGACCTAAAGTAGGTTGGCGTATGGTCGAATCTACACCACAACTGCCCCGGTTATGATACGAGCCGAGCTGGTGAGTGTCTTAATCCTTCATTTGGTCTGCTACCGTTGGTCTGTACTCGGCTGATGACGTCTCGCGGCTCCCCACCACCTCCTTCGGTACGTTCGTTGCTTCCACTGTCACTCACTTGGCAGCTCCTTACTCTTCGCATGCTATTCCATCACAGCTCGCGGCGCCACCATTCTCCTTCAACTCTTCGTCGAGGTGAGGGCGCGCCAGCTGAGTCGATTACTCGACCCGTCGGCACTCGTGGGGTCAGCGACCGGCCTGAAGCTGGGTTGGTCGACCTGACAACTTCCCATGAGTCTGACGCGGAGTCGGCGGGGTCTTCTCGCGTGCGTCCTCCTGGTCTACCGAGCTTGCCGGGCGACACCACTTCGGGCGCCACCAGTCAGCCAAGCTTGGCTGCCACAGTGAGTCTTGACTCCCTCATGGCCAGAGTTAACGAGCTAGGGTATGGGCGCCGAGAAGAATTGACCTTCTTGGCGAGGCTCATGGCCTACGGATTTACTCGTTCCGTGGAGCCCTCCGATCCCGTGCAGCGGCGAGCGATCTTGCATGCCGCTTTCGCGGGGGAACTGTTGGATATCTTGAAAGACAACTACGCCGCTCTTGATTATCCACAGATCATTGGCGATCTCCGAGCTGACAATCAAGCTGTTCAGGAGGAGAACCGCGCACTGACTCGGCGACTGGACTCTCCCGCTCTCAGCAATGTCGACTTCTCCACTCAGCTCTCATCGGCACGACAGCAGGTGTCCCGATTGGAGGCTGCTGCCACGCAGTCGGCTAATCTCCTTGCGTCACTGCAAAAGGCTGTAGCTCTGAGTGAGGCAAAACTTGCTCGGGTCATCGCAGCTGAGCAGAGCAAATTTGACGCTGTGTTGGGTCAGGCCCCAGCTCCATCATCAGCAAGTCTTGGATCGAGACGCCGAGATCGACGTCATTCTCCCGATCCATTTCTGAGAGAGATGCGGCGTTCGTCACCTTTCAGGGCATTGCTTCCAAGCACTTCGAGCAGCTGCAGGAGTCGGTGCGGTTGTACAGCTCCACCGGCACTCAACCTTTGCGGCACGCTCAGTCGGTGATCGCTGAGCAGCGGGCGGTGATCTTGCGACAGAAGCGGCTCATCCGTCGGAATGGCATTATTCCGATGCACGACCCTCACATGGCTGCTGCTGCTGGCGGTGGCTTGCAGGTTCCTGGACTTGATCCGTCCGACCTTCTCTTTAACGCTCGGCTGTGTCGTGTCTTGGCGTCTCGCTTCCCTGAGGTTGTTCATATTCCAGCCAGTGAAACTCGGCGGTTGGAGTTGATTGTTCATCCTCGCCGAGATGCTCCAGTGGCGAGTTCCGCTATTGGTTCTAGTGTGGCTTCCCAGCTAGTCAAGCTTCTTCTGTGACTTCACCGGCAGACTCGGCTGCGGCTCCAGTCAGCTCAGCGGCGGCTACGAGCCACCCCGAGCCGACCATCGCCCAGCTTCACCGTACGCCTTTGGCGAACTTGACTTCGACTCAGCGGCTTCGACGTTATGCCAACCCCAAGTCTCCCACTGCTGCAGGTCCTCGTCATTGTCCACCGGCGCCGCATCCGCCTCAACCGTACGCTTGTCCACTTCCCGGGGAGGATGGACACGAGGCTATCAGTGCCCTTTTGCACTCAAGTTCTCCTCAAGCTACTGTGTCCGATGGAGGAAGGCCCCGCTCTGGAAAGTCACGTCGTCGGACTCGGCGGAAGAAGGTTCGTCACCTTCAGCTGAGTTCTGCTACTCAGCCCGCTGTCTCTGCTCGCTCTGAAGACGACGATGACGCTTCGAGCGAAGCTGAATTCGAGTT